TGGGCACATCCTGCCCTGATCAGGGTGCTGGGAGCTGGAGCAGTGTCATGGACACATCCTGCCCGGGGCAGTGCCCAGTGTGATGTGTGGCTGCTCCCTGGGATGTCCCTGCCGAGGCCGGGCGTGCTGAGCAGCTCCGGGCTGGGAACGGAGCCGCGGTTGTGGTGAGGCAGCAGAGGTGAAAGCTTTGCCTCTCACCGCTCTGAGCCCTCACTTCTGTTTGCTGTAAAAGGAAGGGGTGTTTTCCTCGGTGGTTTGGTGCCAAAGGCCCCTTATCCCAGCTGGTGGGCAGGAACAGCCCCTGGGAAAGAGGAAACGCTTTTCGCAGCAAGGTGGCCACGGTGACCCCAGTTCCCCAGCACACCCTGCACGTCTCATGGCCCACAAGAGACACAATCTTCACATGGCAAAATCTCAACAGAATCCCCCAACACCCAGCACGAAAACTTACTGCCCTTCCTTCAGCAACTCGTGCTGGTGAGGAAGAGCCATTTCTTTGCTTTTCCCTGCACATAGGTCCCCCCTGTGAATTCTCAAACAACTGTAGGTTTCTGTTCTCATTCATCTCCCTAAAACAGGGTAAAGCATAAGATAATCAGGCCTACAGTTGGTGGGTTCAGCTTCTCCTAACACAAAATCTTAGGCTTCATTAAAATTAAACTTTGAAGACCACTGTGGGTAACCCAAAGTTCAGGCCTGCTGAAGGTGGGGATTGCAAAGCACTGTTGACAGATTTACCCAAGAATGGACTGAGGTTCAGCCCTACATTATACATAACTGTGGCCATTTTGGGGTCAGTTTTGTTCTCCCTGGAGCTTCTGCTTGTGAGACCAATGCTCAGGTCTCAGCCTTAGGCAGTAGTCCCAAGTCCGGCTGTCCCAAGCTGGGCAGCCTGAAAACAAGGGCTAAGTCTTGACTTTGCATTCTCACCTCTGTTCTGTGCTGACTTGCCAGGAGTTGATCATGCTTAGCTTGACAGAGTCTCTCCTATCTCAGTATTTCAGACAAAACCAAAAACCACTTCCACTTCACAAACTGGGCCTCATGTCTAGGGTAGCTCTAAAACTAAGCAAATGTTATTTTTGAAGTTGTTATGCAGCAACAGCAGCATTCTATTCATGTTTTGCAGAAAGCTTGTGCAAAGAGAGGTGTTTGGGCAATATTTCTGCTAGGATGGTCTGCCTTCAAAAAGGTGCTTTCAAAAAAATGGCAGTTTAATTCAAAGGTAGTAAAGTTACAGCAGGAATCTGAACCGTGGAAAAAGGAGATGTTACAGCCTTGTCACCAGTTAGGAAATGCAGTTAACAGTGAATGCATCTTGTTTGCTTCTTTAGGAAAAGATCAGACCTCAGTGAGTTAGTCTATGAATCTTTGTTTAAAAAGCTTATGTTCTTCAGTGGAGCACATAAGATTTATTTCTGGTTTTCTCTAGTTTGACTAAAATAATTTCCTCACTCTCTTCCTTTTTGAATGCTGATGCTCTTAACCAGGACCTCAGCAGGTTTCAACTGGCATCACTTCACTGAAACTAATGTACTGTAGCAAAGCTCTGATGCTTGAGAGGCTGTCAAAATAATGCTTTAGAAAAGCCTCACTCTGCAATTCACAATTCAGGCTTTTAGGAACATGGGTTTTTTTGAAAGCTGTAAGCAATTTCTGAAGTATTTTTGATTTTCAGTCTTTCACGTTTTCTTCCACCCCATTCCCTCAGTGTTTCTCTGTTTCATTCTGTTTCAGACATTCACTGGTAACTTTGTCTACTATATCCAGTCAGTGCTCCCAGATGACATTGTCAAAGCAGTCCTGGAGAAAATAGGGTACGTTGCAACAACAGCAACAGAGTTTTCACTTGTCAAAAAGAGAAATAATGAGGAAACAAAGCAGACTGCATTTGAAATATTCCTGGCAAGGATTGAGTGCGAAACCATCCTGGAAATGACAAGTGAAGGAAAAGGTGGCAATTTGGAGGAGCCCCTGCAGCAGAGAACAGAAACACGGCAGCACCAAGGAGAGCAGGACAGAGATCACCCACCCCCGAGGGGAGACACGGAAAATCCAGAAAAGGAAGAAAGCAGTGAGACACCTTTGTGCCTTGCTCCCCAGCAGAACTGCTCAGCTCCCTGCCCTCTGTCCTTTGAAGCTGCTGGGAATGTGGAAATCAAGGATAAGTTGGCTCAGGCAGCAGGTGCTCCATCCACCTCCATCCCTCTGGAACTCCCCAGGCAAGGCGTCGGCTCCACGCGGCTGCCGGGGCAGTGCTTGGACAGCGAGGACTTCCTGGTCAGGTACAGTGACATTGTCATAGGACAAACACCTATTTTCAGTGAGAATCGTTCTCCAAGGGCTTTTGAGACAGAGCCAAGAGCCAGTGTGAGTGAGGAATGTGCCTTGGCTGCAGAGCCCCGGGGGGCTGAGCTGGGCCCTGTGCCGCTGTCCCCAGGAGCCAGCGGCCCCCCAGCCTTTGCCATGTTTGCTGACAGCCCCTGTGACAGCTCAGCCCCCGTGGAGTTCAGAGCTCCACAACTGCCCCAAGAATCCATCGAAGCAGAAATCAAGGATGCCATGAACTGCATAGACTCAGACCCTGCCGATGGACCCGCTGAGCTGAAGTCTCTGCCCTACACGGACTTTGCCTCTGCCCAGACTGTCCCCAGGGAGGAGGAGGTTTGTGATCTGTCCTTAACTTTCACAAAACTACAGATCAAGGACACTCAGGAAGATCTGATGTATCCAGTGGAGGAAACTGGCCAACCTGTAGCAGCAGCATGTGCCAGCGACAGGCACAGAAGAGAATTTAATCACTCCAAAATCAAACACACATATCTGGCTGATGCTGAGCCATCCTCAGACCTGTGCTGTACTGCTGGGAACACGGAGCATTCCACCACTGGTTCTGATGGCAAGAGACTGTTCATGGATACTGGTAACACACACAGAGCCTCTGAGGGCTTCAGGCACATCAGAGAGCCCCCCAACCTCACCTACATCCCACCACAGAGTATCGATGTTCGGCCTTCACAGCCAAGAAGGACCTGCACACAGGACAGAAGGACCCTCCTGCAGCCTGAACCTGACCCTCCTGAATCCAGTGAAGTAACTCTGGAGAACTGGAATTCAGAACTGAGTGAAAACCAGGAGCCTTATGTCATTATTGACAGGACCGACCAAGGAATGTTATGCCATCACATTTGAGTCTACCAGTGCTTTATCTCTAATCTGCCTAGGGTTTTTGCCTCTCACTTGTGGCCTTGATCATCTTTTCAAGGAGATGATTAGTTTTGTCAAAACAGTTTAAAAAAAACCAAAACCACATCACTGCTTTTGGACAGTAAAAAACAGGAGTAGTTACACAAAGTCTTAATGGCCCCTGTGGCAAGGAAACCTGAATGGTCACCTTTCTGAAGCATAAACTTTCATAAATTTAAATCCATTTAATTCATTAGCCAGATTCCTTCTGGCTGTTTCCAATGCCAGACAGGTTTCTTCAGTTAAGTATACTGCTTTTTTTTCCCCCTTCACAGACCTATTCCTGGAGTATTCTTCCAGTACAAGGTAAATCTTCTAAACTGGAAGACCCAGCTTTCTAGCTTTACAAATGCTGTACTGGAGTGTACTTATGTTTGTTAGCTCACTGCATCCCTTGGAAGCTGCTCTGAGCTCATCTTCCTCCTGCCTTCAGCTGAGAACAAGTTTAGAAAGTTTGACAACGTTCCTCTAGGTTTGAGGAGGGAAACAGCCCTGTGAACACTCATGGTTTTGGAGAGGCAATAACCTGTATTACAGGTTTTGTACCTGCCTTCATTTATAACCAGAATATTCTGTGGTTACCACCACAGTTTTCAAGAGAAGCTTTGAGAATCAGAACTGTTCACTGCCACCAGGAGAGAGATCCAGCTACTGCTGCTATTTCCCTTGTCCCTGCTCCTGCCACTTCATTCTGCACCAGGATTCACAGAATTTTTCTGTAAACCAGTTCATTTTATGCATTTTATTTCATCATAAAATTAAGGAGGAAAAACTGCCATTCTGTGCCATTTTAGCATCAAGGAAATGTCAGCAGAGAAGGTTGCAGTGAGCACCAGAGCCAGGATCAGGGATTCTCTGGAAGCAGCAGTGCTGTGTGCTGAGAGGGAACGGGAGCAGGAGTGTTGGATCAGCTGTGAGCTGAGTCCCAGCAGGGAGAGCCTCTGTCATACACAACATTTAATTCATTTAGAAAATTAATTAAATGTTGTACCTAGTACCTAGCCACTGGTACTGTACTTAAGCAGAGTCTTCAGTGCTTCTTTATACACTTGTTACCCAGAAGGACACTTTAATACTGCATCGAGTAGCTTTTCCCACAGCACTTCAATGTGTGCTGGTTTTGGCTGGGGTGGAGTTAATTTTCTTCACAGTGGCTAATATGGGGCTGTGCTTTGGATGCTAAAAGTGCTTTGTTGTTTCATGTATAGTTTAAACAGTAGCTGAAATTAATTTTGTATAAATAGCTTATAATTGACATTCAGCCCTCAAAAAATTCAAAGAGGAGCACACAGATTACACTAGAAAAAGTTCAGGAGCTAAAATGTAAAGATCTGCTTTTTGAACCACTAATTGCTGAAGTTCTGCCATCCCCTGGTTCCAGCAGTGGGGGGGAAACAGAACTTTGTCCAAGCTCACACCAAGGGTTGCCTTCAGCTTTGGGTGAGGTTGTGAGAAACAGTTATTATGGACAAAAAATGTTCACGGGGCTCTTTCCTGACTAATCACAGTGACATCCTCTGGGCTGTAGGATTCTCTGTACTAAACCATCAAGTGAGATTTTCTGGACTGTACAAAACATGCACCCTGGGCTTCTACAACCCTTAATGAAATCCAAATTTAGAACAAACTGCTGATGACTGAAATTCAAATTTATAGAACCATTTCCAAAGAAACAGTTCTTTTGGACTCTTTTATAGAAGAAAAAGCTTTGAAAGTTTAACAGAAGGTTTTAAGAATAATCACTGTCCCCCTACAAATAAGCTTCAATAAGAAAGATAATTAATTAGCACACAAAATCTTATTTTTAAGCTAGAATTCTAAAGATTTACAACAGACCCATAGCATGGCATTACTGGGATCAGAAGCTTTAGTACTAACTCAGTACTAAACCAGGAAATGCTCAGTGCACTCATCATTAATAAGTCATAGTGATTTGGGAAAAAAAATAGCCCATCAAATGGGACTAAAAAGACATGAACTGCAGTTCCTGACTTGGTGGAGTCACTTCAATGCAAGGTTTTAAGTCATACCACAAAACTGCAAAAGGAAGGCAGTGATCTCCAAGAGCAATACCATCAGATGGTGTTGAAGGGCCATGTCACCCAATATTTTTGTCCTCCAAGTGCCAGACAAATGTCTGCAATCTGTGATCAAAGTGCTCACTGATGCCTTCCTTGGTCCAGCTAAACCAACCAAAACCATTAGGGAAAATATATGTATATTGTACTTCAGGGATCATTCCCCTAAAATTACACAGAAAAAGTAAGGTGAACACAGTCCAAGCTGCTGCCTTGAGAGGATTACCTTGAAGAGAACATTCAGAGGGTAAAGCACCAGAGAAGGGCAACTCAGCACTTGAGCTGATGAGTCCTGAATGAAACCCCCACTAGTTCACTCTCCAAGTACCCGCAGGTCATAATAAACTGATCACAATCTAAACCCAAAGAACCATCTGTATTTTTCTTTGTAAAAAGAAGTAAAAATCAGAGAATCTGAAGCAGTTAAGAAATCAATTAATTCTAGGATTTTTTATTACCATTTGAAAGGAACAACAAATGCCTTTCTGTACACCCTGTTTTGTCACTGTTCCTCAGCTCAGCCATAGCAGGGCTGGGGATCTCATCAACATGGGAGAGAAATAAGCCCTCTACAGAAACCTGTCTGTGACACAGCCTGAAAGCCATTCTGCAATCACACAGAACTACAGCTACATTGTGGTGTCATGCAGAGCAGAAGGAACGTGTAGGGTTAGAGTAAGACCCAAGATTTCAAACTGGCAAGACCTATTTAACAAAGCTGCTTCACTTGATGCACTTCATTTGCTTCCTCTAATAATAAAAAAAGAACATCCCACCTCTTCCATTCCTTGAACACCTCCAGGGATGGGGACTCCACCACCTCCCTGGGCAGCCTGTTCCAACATCTAATCACCCCTTCTGTGAACAAAGTCTTCCTGTTGGCCAGCCTAAACCTCCCCTGGTGCAGCTGAAGATTGTCCTCTTGTCCAGTCACTTGTTCCCTGGGAGCAGAGCCCAACCCCCAGCTCAATGCAAGCTCCTTTCAGGTTGTAGAGAGTGAGAAGGTCCCCCCTGAACCTCCTTTTCTCCAGGCTGAGCATCCCCAGCTCCGTTCCCTTCCCTGGACACGCTCCAGCCCCTTGGTGTTGTTCCTGCAGTGAGGAGCCCAAAACTGGACGCGGCCCTCGAGGGGCCTCAGCAGTGCCAGCACAGGGGAATGGGGGCTGTCCTGCTCCTGCTGCCACACTATTCCTGATCCAGGCCAGGTGCCCTTGACCTTCCTGCCCCCCTGGGCACACCTGGCTCATGTCCAGCCCTGTCACCAGCACTCCCAGGGCCTTTCCCACTGGGCACTTTCCTGCCCCTCTGCCCAGCCTGGAGCTGCAGGGGGTTGTTGTGGCCAAAGTGCAGGACCTGGCACTTGTTGACCCCACACCCGAATTTGCTAATGGTGCACTCAGTCCCCTCATCAATAAAGATACTGAACAGAACTGGGCCCAACACTGATCCCTGGGGACAGCACTAGTGACCAGATCCCA